GTCTGTCTGTCTGTCTGACTGTCTGAGGGTTGAACTGTTGGGTTCTTGGTGTTCTCTGTGCTTGGTGGTTTTCTTGCAGACATCTCATTACACCATCAGTACAAATTTCACTCTCCCATTCATTGATGTTACTTAGCCTGGTAATAAAACGTCTACAAGACAGCTGAGAGAACTTCAAGAACCCAAGAAAATGGGAAAATGAATGATGCTGAAAAGATGGCTATCAGATCTAGGAAGATCTAGATGACGGCTAAATGCCACAATGAGTGAGTTTTCTATATTTCTTAGTTGCCATCTCAGTCACCTGGACATTGGCAGCTGAGTTCTGGTAGCCTTTCTGAAAGCCTTCTCAGTTTTGGAACAAAGGAGATGTAGGTCTACAGCAATTCTTCTAAGATGGAACTGGCTCCCTTGGAGCTCTAAAACAAGGGAGGGGGCCAGAATCTGTCCCAGGGACCAGGTTAGTCCTCCGGTCAATGGAAAATAGTTTTCTGAAAACACAACCCCAAAAAAGAAGCAGAAAAATATACACAGACAGGGAAGATCCTTATCTGGGCAGAAGAGACATATGCATTTGGTTAATCAGCCGCGTATGCATATTTGAAGCTTGGCCCAAAAGTCCAGAAAGCAAAGCAAAATGGAAAAAGAGTTGCTCCTCCATGCCAGTTGGAACAAGGGACCATGCCTGGAATCCAAGCAAATGTCGTTCCTTATTAATTAAGGGCTGGAGAAGAAACAATGTACCAAAACAAAGTTTTTATGTTCGCATTTCATAACATTTCCATAGAAAACAGTATCTGGGATCTCCCTTGTTCTGACAGCCATACAAGTGGAGGCCCATCATCCTGGGTCAGCATGAGCCTTCTGGAAACATTTCTGACTTTGGGGGAGTGGAGGGAGAGAAAGAAGGAAAGGGAAAAAAAATGGATTTTGCACCCTGCTCTCAGTCAAGATGCATTTTCTCCCAAGAATCTTGGCACAGGAGACAAAAAAGGATTTGAATAATGGGGAGCAAATCTGACTAGGAACCAACAATCTTGTGTGTGTCTGCCTGAGTCAGACTTGACTTCTGGCAACTCACAGACAAGACCGTACAGCTTTCTTGGCAATGTTTTTTGGAAGGGCTTCCTAGGGCTTAGAGAGAAGGACTAGCCCAAAATCACCCAGCTGACTTTTGTGCCTACAGGAGGACTAGAACTCACGGTCTTCTGGCTTCTAATCCACAGCCTTACCTACTAATCCAAGCTGGCTCTCAAGGAACCAGCTATAGTAACAGTTAATGCACAAAACACCCTCCCCTTCCACTTTTCCCCCACAATCACAACCCCATAAAGTAGTTGGACTGAGTGCTTCATCACTGAGAGGGGACTCAAACCTGGGCCTCCTTGATCCTAGTTCAACACCTTAGTAGTTGCACCACATTGACTAGTGAACAGATTTGCCTGCTTCCCTGTGGTGAGCTAAATGTCAGCCCCAGGGCATCAGGAAAGGAAACTTGGCAAAAGTATGCATGAGGGTTGCAATTACTTCCTTATTTGTTTTCTTTAGGGTCCTAGATAACAAACATCATGCCGCTTGCCCCAAGTTTGGATTTTAAGAAAACATCCTGGCCAGAAAAGCAAGTCACTTACATTCTCTTTGGAGAAAGTCCGTGTGAAACATAAGTACCGCGTGACCTTGGATTTGAAGAGGCCGTCCTTCCAAAGGTCAGCATCTAAGCCATCTGCTGTTTGTGTGACCTGGGAAAAAAGGTGAAATGGAATAAAGAGAGAAAAGGAAGAGACCAGGTCAGTCGTGTTAAAGCTTATATGTAGATACCTTTAGCACTTATCCTAATTAACATGGATTGGAGGTCTTCTCATCATCTCATTAAGCTTCTCCGCCATAGAGGGATCAAAGGAGGTTAGCCCTAATAACAATGCCCCCAGAGAGTCAAATGATTAAAGAGAATCCTTGCAACAAAATCAAAGACAGAACACAAGCTCAGATCAGAGTTTGTAAGATGGTTTTGAGACAAGGGGAGAGCCACAATCGTGTCTGTACTGGAAAACGGGGGGCACTGAAGAAGACCATCGCTAAATCTTGGGCCAAGGATAGGTACCACCTCACAAGAACATAAGCCTCCAAGTGTAGTGGCTTCATCCCAGTGCAGAGCAAGAAAGGGTCTCATTGACTACCTTCTATGCAAGAACCTTCCCACAGGATGCCTGAGATGAACAAAACAGAACCTGACCTTGTAATAGTGCCATAACACTCCTCAGTTGGATCTGGCTTAACCTAAAATGAATCCCACCAACAGGGCTTGTAAATGAGATTTTATAGCTTCTTGTTCCATGTGAATCAGGCAACTTCTGGTGCATTTAATAAACCAGGCTTAAAGTAAGCTGCAGTATAGTGCAGGGGTAAACCACTGCTGGCAGGGCTGTTGTGATGGTCATACCAAGCCATGGGGGCTTTTCTGGAAGGGCTTCCACAAAGAATAATTTGTCTGGGGATTGTCTAGTCCTACCACTGTCACTTTTTCAGAAAGCCCAAAAGACTATCTTGTACTTATCCAAGCTTTCCTGTGGTAGAACATTCTGCTCCATTCCCTGCACTGTATCTCAGCTGCCTTGAGGGGTTGTCTCAAACCAGCCTACAAATGTTGTAAAGAAATACACAGTGTCTCAATCCAAAGTGGAGATCCAAGCTTATTTTAGAGAAATGGCTTGGCTATGAGGGAGACTTAGTGGCCAAACCCATATTCAAAATAACACAAATTGACCCACAGCCCAAGGAGACTATCAAGGAAAGTGCCACTTCACAGCAAATATCTGCAATGGGTTTTCTCAACACAACTCTTGGTGAGTGAACAAGTATGTGCAAGGAGATCCCCAACACCAAACCGAGTTCAGAACTTTGTTCAACCACGGTGGGGCCATCTCCAAACTTCCACAATGCATAAAATCACTGGAAAAGCAACAGGCGTGTTTAGGCAACTTGATTATTTCCGCTTGCACTCTGTTCTTTTAATCCAAATACTTTCAGGAAAGGCATGCCATTATTGGCATGATCAGGGCAGATTTTTGGGCTCAGAGCCCATTTTAATTACTTGCATATGCTTTCAGGATGCCCTGAGTCTGATTTTCAGCAAGAAGTTTTACATGTCTCCTTATTTGTCTCTCCCACTCCCTTACACACATTCTGGGCTTGTGTGACACACCTAACCCTGTACATGAGTTCACACACACAGTGGGATTGTCAGGCTGGTTCATCCAACCTGGATCCCCATAACTTCTTGAACCAACAGAACATAATCCAATCAAGACCTTGCTAGAGACAGGACGATCTCAGCTTAGCAGGAGAAAATTGTTCCAGACAAGAGAGGAAATGAAATTTGGCCATGTAAGAAAAGCAGTTAAGACTTCTCTTTGAGAGATCTGAAACAGGACAGGGTACAGCTGGTCCAGAATGCAGCCACACGGGCTGTTTTTGGAGCCCCAAGAAGGGCCCATGTAACACCATAGCTCCACGGGCTGCATTGGGTACCAGTTTGCTTCCAGGTCCAATTCAAGGTGTTGGTTATCACCTTTAAAGCCCTGCATGGCATGGGGCCAGGTTACCTAAGGGACCACCTCTTCCCCATGACTTCATCCCGTCCCACCCAATCACAGAGAGAGGGCATGCTTTGGACCCCCTCGGTAAAAGAGCTCCGATTAGTGGGGTCCAGAAGACGGGCCTTCTCGGCTGTGGGCCCCGCCCTTTGGAATATCCTGACCCCGGAGTTGAGATTGGCCCCCTCACTCCTGGCCTTCCAGAGGGATTTGAAGACCTGGCTCTGCCCCTTGGCCTGGGGTGGGGAGGGAAGACATCGAGTGTGGGGATGGCTAGTCCCCAAGACGCCTTTCGTCTCCAGCCCGGGAAACCATCAGACTCTTGGACTTTTTATTTTTGGTAATTTGTACAGTTTTTATGTCTTTTGTAATTGTAGATGTATTAATTATTTTAATGGATTGTGAGAGCTGCCCAGGACCCCCCATTTGGGGGAGATGGGCAGAGATAAATTTAATAAATAAAATAAAATAAACGCTGGACCATCTTTCCTACCCGCTCAGAACAACGGATGGTGAGTATTACAGTAAAAGTGTCATTCCGAATTGTGGCTGTCCACATCTCTTGGGAGTTGCTGCTTAGCTTGTGATTGTCTCAGGACAGTCTGAAAACCCTTTGTTTGGGCCTAGCCCAGCATGTTGGGCAAACCTGGTCACACACTCACACCCATCGCTTTTTCGAAACCCTGAGAGCTGAGCAGCAGAATCAGATGACGACCCTTCTCCTTTTCTTCTTCACAGCAGCCAACAACCAAAGCAGTAGACTGAAACAATCTTGCAATTACATTATACAGTGGTACCTCGGGTTACGAACTTAATTCGTTCCGTGACTCTGGTCGCAGCCCGA